CCCCCACCCCCACCACCGACTTACATAACAACAACTGCCCGAGCCCGAGAGCCGTGCAGCGGGCTGTTTGCAGCAGGAGAGCCCGGTGCTGCTGTGAAAGTGCAGAACCGTTAGATTTAGGGAACAACAATGAGTCAGGCCGAACCAGACCCGGAGCCGAGCAGCGCTGCGGCCGCTAAAAACACGGATCACATGCGTGCTTTAAAAATAAATAAAATAAATTAAAATAAAAGACGTCAACCTCCTTCTTACCTAACTCCGAGGACTCTTCCAGGGAAAACAATAAATCTTGCATTAAGTTGATTAATCCCCAATGAACGAGCAGCCCAGACTGGGTGCAGTGGGGGGAAACCAGTTAGCAAACTTAGCTAACCAGCTTAACTTACTGCTTTGCAAAGAACGGTCAGATGTCTCACTTTTTGTCCGCTCCTGCTTCGCTCGGGCTCACGGTTCTGCGCTCAAATGTCGGCACCGGGTCGCGGACACACGCGAGCCCAGCTGGAAACTGTCCAGAAGTTGTGTGTAAGCTGGCCCGTTGTCAATTTAACGTCAGCTTTTGTTGACAAACAAGGCTGCGTGGTTGAAATCACACACGACGTGAAGTTAGCCAGGATGCTAGCTGACTTAGCCGCAGCGCTAGCTAACGCCAGCTTTATTTAAATAATAAAAAAAAAAGGACAACAAACCGTCGCTGAGTAAGATGGCCCGTTTTCCTGCTCCTCCTGCGGGTGAACCGTGTCCGGTCGGCGGCAGCGGGTCATAAGTAAGTCCGGGAATCGGTCGCGGTTGCTCCCTGCGCCTCGGTGACGGTGCACTTCGTCTGCTAACCCAAGTTATCGCTTTGGTCTCTGCTCTCCGCCATTTCCAATCGCTCAACACAAACAAACAGGGGCAGGTCGCGCGCGCCGCGCTCACGAGGCGAGCAGCAGTGAGCTGATGGACGGGAAACCTGGACCCCTGGACCCCCGTGCTACAAACACTCCTGAGACCTGATCCACATGATTACTTTCATTTTTTAAAATCATAACATGCAGTTTTCTAGTCAGAGAGCAGAGCGGCTCTTATTTTGAAATGCATGTCTCCCGCCGCCTTTCTCGCCAGTTTCAAAATAAAATCACAGTAAGCGTTAAAGTGCCCGTGACATCAAATTTTTTTTTGTAATAAATGTGAATGCATTTTTTTTTTGAAAGAGAACACCGATAACATATTGCAAAACAAATTTCACATCGCTGAGATGAACAGTTGTTGAGATGTTTGCAGAGCCGGCTTTCGGCATAGGCGAACTAGGCGGTCGCCTGGAGCGCCATCTGCTGGAGGGGGCGCCGAACTGCAGAAGAAAAAAATGTTTGTAATCCCTGGTTGTAACTCTGCTCGGCGCTCCTTTCAGTTCGCTTTGTCTTAAAAACTATAATGAAGTATTACAGGAAAAATAAACTACTCTACCCATAAAACACCCCCACCCTCTCTCTCATTTGATTGACGTTGCACTGAAATCCTGCTCTGACACTCTGATGGGGGAGGGGCTA